TCTCTCTCTCTCTCTCTCTCTCTCTCTCTCTCTCTCTCTCTCGCTCTGTGTGTGTGTGTGTGTGTGTGTGTGTGTGTGTGTGTGTGTGTGTGTGTAACATACTGTACGCATAGCATACTATGTTATGAACTCCGTTTAAACGGCCTGAACGGTCATCCATGAGATGTTCGCCGCGAACCATTCCACTTTGTGATCCTGAAAAACAAAGTGGAGGAATGGCAGGGGAGGAGTTGGAGATGGGCAAACTTACCAGGGTGAAGCTGCCGAACACCGCGTGAGGCGGCAGCGGACACTTCGAACGACTTCGACGCCTATGGGCCTGGGTATTGCGCAAAGTTGGCCTGGAGGGCAAACCGGGTGAAACAGGGTGCAGCCCCAGGCTCCAACCATGAGGTCCAGATTGCAAATTTGCACACAGGCCTGACAGGGCCAAAACACAAAGAATTAGGCCCAAAAGCGCATTGCACTCTACCCACATCTTTTAGGGGCATTTTGGCATATATCTCAACTTATAGGGGCATTTTGCTAATTATCCCTCGTTTTGTTTTTTTGTGTTTTTTTAAAACAAGGCTCCGATCTATTCGTCGATACAACGATTCAGCAATGTTTTTCAATAATCTTTAGAAATGAAGGCGTAGGATGGTCTTTTCATTTGGGCTCTTTTTCCCCCAAGGGCTGTTCTCAATCTCTTTTTATTCTTGTATCTTCCTCTTCAGGAAGGCCTTTCTGTTTCCCCTTTTTCCAGTCTCTCCTCCTCCGGTTTCCCTTTTCTTTTCAGTATCTTACAAGAAAAGCCCTTGTGTAAGCCCTCCATCCCGATGGTGGTAAGAGAACCATCAGGATCGAGGGCTTATCTTCCGGGCTGCTCCATCTATTGGTGGGGAGCAGCGCCTGCTGGAAACCGGGTCCAGCGTCCCACATATACAATTGAGAACACAAAAGGTAGCAATCAAAGTTCAGTTGGCTGTGCTTGTTCCCATGTCCCTCCGTGTCCCCTATCTGTTTTCTGCTTATCATAAATGAGGTAGCAAGATAGTATATTGGATCATGGCTAATTAGGGCCAACAGGGCAGGACTGGGTACTTTAAATAGTCTCCTGCTGCTTGATTTCTTTACCTTGTGACAACCATGCTTTCAATTTTTTTTTCAGTTACTTTTTTTTTTTTTTTTTTTTTTTTTTTAAGGCTAATTCTGTAAGCCCAACCAATTCAATTACCTGTTGAATCTGGACAGGACAGCCTTTCAGGCCTTTTTTTATTGTCATTAATACTCATTATAGTATTACGGGGACCCATAGCAGCCACATCCGTGCTCAAGCCTCCAACGAGGGAGCATGCGGGAGCTGCACCCACCAGCAGGTGCTATACCTGCTACAGCACGTGGGCGATACCGACCAGGGGTCAGCCAGTAGCATCAGGACCGAGCTTAGCTTCTTCGATGGGCCAGTCATTGTGCCTCCCCTCCGGCGGTGGTCCCCTCCCCCTATGAACATCACCAGTCTCTGCTCAATGCCACTCGGGGGGACCAACGCCATATCTCTAGGTGGTGGGCGCCAAGCTTGCCCAGGCAGGTACATGAGGCCATGCTTGGCGGGGACGAGGAACCGGACTGGAGCCCTCGCAAAAAAAAAAAAAAAGTTGTTAAAAAATAGAAATAAAAATAAAAAATGGGTGGGATAATTTGCAAAATACCCCCATAAGTTGCGATATATTCCAAAATGCCCCTAAAAAATGTGGGTAGAGCGGAATACCCTTCTGACAAAAAATATATTTTGTGAAATACCCCTGGCGTCGGTTGGACCCCCTTGTTTGCAATATACCCCTATGCGGTACCGTCCAACTTTGCAAAATTCCACAGTACTTGCCAACTTCTCCTACACGTTATTGCAAAAAAAGGCCAAGGCCCAAACGGGGAGGTCCAGCCTGCAAAATTGCACACCCGCCTGACAGGGGCACAACACAAAGATTTCGGCCCAAAAGGGCATTCCGCTCTACCCACAGGGGCATTTTGGCATATATATCAACTTATGAGGGTAGCTTGCAAATTATCCCACAATGGATTCATTGGATCACAATAATGTCAGAAAACATAAAATGCTTTTTTCTACCTGAGCCATCCGGCAGCCATCCTGAGTTAATTCCATCCGGCTCCCCCCCC